AAGACCATGAATCAAAGAATAAAAAGCTAAACAGAAAGAGAAGAGAATTAATAAAAAGAATGAGGGAAAGGAATCTTTTTTTTAGAAAAAGATGTAGAAAATTAAAAAAAAACACCTAACCAAAGTTGAAGGAGAGGAGAAGAAGGGGAATTTTACCTTATGGTTTAACTGAAAGAAAGAAAGGAAAGACTTAGATAACTAGATAAAAGGAAGAAAAAAATGAATTAATGTTAAGCAAAACTCCAAAACTAGGGAAAGAGGTGACAAATAGGACGGGGGATATAGAACTTTGAGAGTAAGGGGAAAATTCTGTGGGAACAGGCTTGCCTTCAAGTAGATTAAAGAAAAAAAAATAGACAAAGTATTCTCTTCACACAGGAAGAGGAACAACAACACTCCCTCCCCTCACCAAAAAAATCCTAATTCCAGAACTTATATTTGAGAATGGATATGTCTCGTATCCAAGGAATTAACTTCATACAATAACAATCACTCTATAAAGAAGAATTGAGGAAAAGCAGAAAAGCTCGCTGATATCCTCACCTGAAGCCAATCAATTAAAGCTGGCAGACCCCACTGTGCTAGGGACAGATTGGTTTCAAGGTTCTGGAAGTGTTATAAATTTGTTTCCAGTGTTATAAATTGGTTTCTGGAAGTTCTGGAAGTGTTATAAATTGGTTTCAAGGTTCTGGAAGTGTTATAAATGTCCTCCCTCAAACCCACCAAAAGAAAAAGGTTTAGTAGTTGTATTTTGATTTCCAAAAGCATCCCTGCAGCAGCCCTGTTTGCAGAGTAAATAGAGTCAATTGTCTAAAAGAAAAAGCAAGTAATGAAGCAGAATAGGTGTTGTCAGAACATGAATACAAAGTTTTCTGAAGATAAGCTACCATAAAGTGAATCTGCCTATAGAAAACTGAGAGGTTTTTCTTCATTGCTTTTTAATTCATTTACTGAATTTGCTAGTGAACTCCCCTTTCAAATCCTCTTCTTCTACCTTATTTCTACTGGCAAGCTTCAGGGTTTTCTATAAAACTTTGATCTAAAATGACATCCAGGAATAAAAATGTGTTTACTGACCAAATGCCAACTCAGACTCTCTGGAGAATGCTGCTCTTCAGTTACCGGGAAAACAACTTGAAAGTTGATTTAAATAGCCAAAGGAGAGAGCAGTTTATTAAACATTTTTTTCTCTATCTTTCTGTCTATACTACTTTGTTCCTGGGAACAGTAGTCTTGATTAAAGGTCACTGGATGGAATAGATGCTTCTCACATGAGGCTATAGCTCTTCTATTCCCCATGTAGCTATACTGCCTTTTAGGCTGGGCAGAGCAATGGCATTTTGACTCATCTATTCACTCAGTTTATCTTCAGTCCCAAGTCTTTCCTGCTCATTCTCATTTTTTTTTCATGGCTCCATCCTTTTATTGTCTTCTTCCTCTATCCTCTCTCATTATATATATGAGAGCCAGCTGCCCAGTCCTCAAGTCCTGAACTAGCCCTGAATTTGTCACATTCTTCTGAGTTTATGAACCCTGGTTCAGACTATCCAGGTCTTTCAAAAAAGACACAACTGCTTTCTGGCAGCAATAACTGAAACATCCCTTCTGAGTTATTTTCCAACTTATTCTCACTTGCAGGTGGAGGTCTCCAGAGGGTGGCTGCTATCTTGGATTCTACCCTATGAGTGACTATTTCTGTTGTTTGACCTTCATTTTTGAAGATGACCAATGACACCATGATTGATGTCTTAACTTTCACATGAATTGGATTTAAGGGAGGCAGAGTTGCACATCAGCCTCACTCTCTCTTCCAGAGTCACTGAAGTCCAGTGGCAGGACAAAAGTTAAGATGTTCCAAAGGATACAGTGGGTGACATTGTCATATTTGATGTTTGACCAAGCTCTAAGTGCTCCACAGTGCCTGCTTCAGCCACTTTCATGGCCCTTGGAACAAATTGTTCTCATCCTCCCAATCCACAGGTGAAGTCTTCACATGGTTGGGGTAGACATCCTCCTAACTCACTGATGGGTTTGAGGCCTGTCAGTTACTCTTAACCTAGTTTAGCCCATCTGCTAAGACAGTTTTACCAGGATGTGGCTGCTGCACATGCTACAGCTTTTTGGAGCCACAGGTGAGAGGTTGGTGACAGGTGGACACCAAAGGTGGATGAGCAGCCCTGAAAAGGGCTCAGCAAGCCCTCCCACCAGAGGTGTTAGTTCTCCCTGAACACTGCACACACACCCTACCAGGGGCTGTATGTACCCACCCTTGCTAGACTATTCTAGTGGTCTTCTGTCTAGTTACCTGGTCATGAGTTTCTTCTCTCTCAGTCCATGAATCAGCAAACATTTATTAAAAGTAAATATTATATGCTAGGTACTGTGCACCTGTGATATAAGGAAAGATTTAAAAAAAGCCACTTTCCCTCCCCTCAAGGAGCTTACATTCTCTTGCTAGCTACTCCCACTATGGTATTAAAACTCTAACCAGTGTGCTATGAACAATTATTCAATAGAATTAATGAGCTTTTATCAAAAGCCATTAGTCAAATAGCATAATGAGCAGTATCACAAAAATATCTCCCCTAAACCTGGGGTACAATCTCCTCCACACAAATAGCATCAAGGCACATGGGTGGAATACACATGTGGCAAAGAGTAATTCACAAGTCCTGGCGCCACACAACCTAGATGTCATTTCTCTCTCCACAAAATCCTCACGATTTTCTGTTTCAGGGCAGAGTTTCTGCTAGGTGTGTAGGTCAGCTGAACTACCATGGTCTGCTTCCTTCTTGACTCCAGATCTGGCATTCTTCTCTTCTATAAAGAGTTATACTCCTTGAAGCTCCCTGCTCCTTTGGGTGACTATCTCTGTTTCCATTTCTGTCCTTGGGTGTGTGTCTCTGCTCTCTTCTGTATACACTGTCTCTTACTGGTCCACTAGCTCCCATAACACAGTCGATGGTGGAGGGAAGGGCAGATTATATGCATCTCATAGATATATCTTGTTTACACATTTTAAACTTCATCATGTGTGACTACAATCTGAGGTGGGGAGGAAAACTCTCTCCCTTACATAATAAACCACATTCCTTTAATAACAATTTACATTTGTATAGTGCTTGATGCTTGAAAGTTTATGAAGTGTTTTCCTAATAAGCAACTTGTGAAGCAGGTTGTGGACGTAAGATATTTCTCCATCTTACAGATGAGGAAACTTAAATGATTTGCCCATGGTCACATAACTCACAGATGTTGGACTTGGCACTTGAACCCAGGTCTTTGGAATCTAAGACCAGCACTCCTTTTGACCCTATTCCACCTCCTACACACCCCATGGCTCACTGTCTATCAGAAGGAGGAAGTTCTGCTCCAAACAACAGAAAATGTCTGGCTGAGGAGGTTACAAAACAGAGACTAATGACATATTCTGTTTATTTGGTAGAAGTTTATTTAAATGAAGCCCATTTATAAAAAGGCAGAAATATGGTCCCCGAGGATGAATGCATAGACTGCACGTTCCCTTCTCATATAACACAACACTTAGACACAGAAAGGTAAAGAAACTTTTCAAGGTCACTTTGACATTTAGTGGCTCTAATCATCCTAGAGCTTATGGATACCCAACACCCACTACTGTGCTTAACATAAATGAGCTTTTCATGTTGAATTAATGTAGCTAAAACCTTACACGATGAATTAAGCAATCTCTCTGTCCCTCTCCATCTCTCTCCCCCTCCTCCTCCTCCTCTTCCTCTTCTCTCTCTGATATTGTATCTATGTTTGGTTGGAGCTTGAAAATATAAATGTAAATAACATAAATATAAATGAAAATATAAATAAGGACTAGTATCTTGCACCACAACAAAATCCAGTAACTTTGTGGCAAGTTTTATTTTATAACTATAGATAGCACACAAGAGGGCCACCTTACATATTACATTACTCCATATCAAGTTGTAAAGAAAAGTAGGTTTTTTGTATTTACATTATCTGCCTAGAAAGTTTCAATGGTGCCTTTCCTCCAAGGACAATGCAGAGCAGAGTCATTGCTGGGAAATTTTGCAACTACAATACATACCACAAATAGTGTCCGGGGATGCTGCACAAAGCAGGCTCTCAGTTGAGGAGTCTAGGGAGTAGGCGAGAGCAATGGAATAGCTCACTCCAATCCACTACCTGGTCTCTTACTTTAACTAATCATTCTTAAAAATTAATTTCTAATTGCTATTCTTTTTTCTGAAGGATTTCAAATTGGGTATCTTTGGGCAAAGCCCCAATGACCTAATCCTTCTTATGTCTCTAATAAAGAGTAACTTTGAAATTCTAGGAGCAATAATAGTGGTATTTCTATATGATGATACATTTTGAAAATTATCAGGGAGAGAGGGAATAGCAAGATTTGGAACTGGAATGGGGAGAGAATGAGAAAACATACAGGGGAAAAATAATCATGCAGAATTTCTTATGCCAATATATGAAACCGAGGGAGTCTTAGAAGTCTAAGATTAGTTGCAATGTTTCCCGTAATTGAACCATTTTATTAAAACTTATCTTTTCTCCTTAGAAGTCTTGTTCCTTACTGCTGTAGCTCTGGGTAGCTAGGTGGCTTTGTGGGTAGAGCACTGGGCCTGAAGTCAGGACTCATCTTCCTGAGTTCAAACCTTGCCTCAATATTTACTAGCTGTGTGATCCTGGGTAAGTCACCTAAACCTGTCTGGCTCAGTTTCCTGATCTGTAAAATGAGCTGGAGAAGGAAATGGCAAACCATTCTACCATCTTTGCCAAGAAAACCCCAAATGGGAACACAAAGAGGCAGACATGACTGAAATGACTTATAGCTCTATTTACTTTGAATATTAATGTCAAAATACAGCCAAAACATTAATGACAAAGAATGCCATCCAAAAATTAAGTTCAGGGTGACAGTTCTTGAATTTTTTATTATATGTCTATGATACTGCTAAATTGGGGGTACAATTTATACATTTAAAAATCATGCTTTAAAAGCAACACACATATTAAATGTAAATGAATGATACAGAGAAGATTAGAATGACTCCTGCATAAAGATGGCACAAATTTACAAAGTGTTCCATATCTTTAAATAAAAATTACCTCTCTGTTCATGGCAGAGGACTATTAGGACACAATAAGGTTTATAGAGTCAGACACAGTCACTGAATTAGGAGGTTTTTGCTTAACTGTTACTCGTTGTCACAAAAGAGGGTTCATTTGGGGGGAAAGAGTTTTTCTCCTAAAAATTACTATGGTGTAAAGGCAAAATATATTAATAAAACAAACTATATTTTCCCACTTAATAGTATTTTATTTTTTCCAATTACATGCAAAGATAGTTTTCAACATTCACTTTTACAAGATTTTGAGTTTCGAATTTTTTTTTCCCTCCCTCTCCTTCCCCCTCCCCAAAACAGCATGCAATCTGATATAGGCTATACATGTACAATCATATTAAACATATTTCCACATTAGTCATCTAAGCAAACTATATTTTTAAAAATTAAGGAAGAGAATCAGGCATTATGGAAACTTATTGGTGTAAAGCTCCAAAATGTGGTCATTTAAAAAGTGAGCAGCGGGGTGTTGTCATACAATGTTCATTCACTGAAGAAAATCTGCAGCAAGACTACCCTAAGCTATAAATTTACTGGCCCTTGCTAATTCAGAAGAGTTGAGTCTGACTGATACTTGAAGAGGCTTAATAAGGAAAACTGTGGCAGCTCCAAGAAATAACATTGTTGGTTCAGACAGTGAAGCAACCTTGGCATTGCATGATTCTGCCACTGGGCTAAAGAAATAAGGTGTGATGTCTTTAGTTCATGAACTAATCTTCCAACTTGCTGTTCTCCCAGCCATAGTGAAGGGGCTGAATAACCCTACCGTCCACCCCCAATTTTAATGTTAGTGTGCCATAGTCCTCATAGTCTTGTTTTAAAGGATAGAAAACAATCTTTGGACCACTGCACCTAAAATGGGTTATTTCATTATAGTATTCTTCTATTGCTCTTCTCTGTTCGTTTTCTGATTTACATCTGAATGGTTTGTGGTTTAGGGTTATGGAAGAAAGATTGAAGGTCAAAGGAAACAACTTGTTCTTCTTTAATTATTCAAACTCAAATGCTGTCATTTTCAACAGTGCATTTGTTAGCAAGACTTAGATAAACCCATTAGCACATTGTAGATAACTTCAATTCATTGACCTACCTCTAATGTAAGCAAATGTGGCCAAAGAGTTGCTGACAATAACTCCATCTTTCACCAGAGTCTTTGATTTGCTTGGATCAAAGTTTATATCTGTTTTGTGAAGATGTAAGACCAATTAATCACAGTTGATTTACATGACAAATACCCATAAGCAATGCTACTAAATCAAGATCATTTATATAATATTAAAGACAAAACAAAGCTTCTAACTAAGCTACAAAGCAACAGTGCAGTCTGCCAGAGTGTCAATGGACCCTGTGTCAATGGACATTAGATGACAAGATTTCTAGAGAAACATGTTAGAAAAAGCCACAGGGTTTCACTTTTAAATGGCAGTGATGCTGTAAGCCATTCCTCATCCATTCCATGGCAAGAAACGATGAAGAGAAAAGCAAGCATCACATTTGCAAGGTCTATCACAGTGCCTGATACACAGGAAGCATTTAATTAATGTTCTGTCTGTCTATCTGTCCATCTCGTCTGTCTGTCTGTCTGTCTATCTATCTATCTGTCTATCTGTCCATCTAGTCTGTCCGTCTATCTATCTTTCTATCTATCTAGACTGGGAAGGCTGCACACTTTATTAAATCCCCCAGGCTGGACATCCTTAGGGGTTGAGAGAGGGGCAGATCAAAAACAGTCACAAACAAGCTCTGCTGTTTACATCCCTTGACCACAGTTGAAAAGAGTAGTTGTGTTATGTTGGCTTTCTGGTAACGACTGAAAAATTATAAAAATCCAAGTTTAAGAAAAATTACAAATTATTTCTTCCATGACTTTTTAAACAGTTTTTTTTAATAGATCCTCTAAGATTATAAATGGGTACCAACCAGCATCAGTAGAGGCAGCTTCCTCGCTGGGAATCCATACTAACAAAGTAACACATCCAGTCTCTATCCATATCTAATAGGACACTCTTACGGGCTGTGGGTTTTGGGCTCTGAAGAAGTGCACAAGGGAGACAAAAGGAAAAAATGGGTGGGAAATACCCTGGTGTTCCATATTCTTGTGGAGGAAATGGGCTGGGCAGCAATGGCAGGGATCACTGTCTAGAGTGCTGGGGTGGGGGGGAAGTATAATATATATAATAAAGTATAAAAAAGCTGGTAGAGAATCATAGAAAATACTCTTCTCTGATCCCCCTTGACTTCTCATTTTTCCATGGAGATGTCAAAGGGCCTTCCCCTTCCTATTCCCTCTGTTTCCCTCTTAGTGGCCCAGAAGAGAGAGAGGTGGTATACCTTTTCAGAGTCCCCACTGAACTATGAGACTTGAGATTTTTGCCTCTGATTTGCTCCACACTAAGGCTGGTGTTAAACACAGGTTAGTTTCATTAGTACTGGGAGATGCTCAGAAACTGAAAGACCAGGATCTAATCAGTCAAATGATCCTATAAACCCATAGATGTTCTGGGAGAACCTAACTGCTTCTGATGGACCCCTACAGTTACTCCCAGCACATGCAACTATCCACACTGGGTGATGGTGACAAGCAACACCAAGAGAGAAATGAATGGTGCTTGGCATCTGGTTGGGATTCACAAGCTTATAGTATAGTATATATGGGTGGGGCAGCCAAGCAGAGACAGTTCAGGCAAGTTTCATCTCTGCACATATCTACTTCCATTATCTCTGTCCTGTAAGAGCCTCTAGCTACCAAAAGCTCAATTTTTTTAAGGATGATCTCCTGAAATGCTATCATTTTCATTCAGGAATTTCAGAGGTAGAAATTCCAATCTAGATGAGATATGAAGGCCTGAATCTTTCTTCATTCATGGAAAAAGAAAAAGGAGCTAGATGAGATTTCAGGTGAAACCCTAAAGAAGAAGATGGCTACTACTTCTTCCAGTGATGCATAAAGCCATCTGCCATCTTGACTAGCTTAAGCAAGTTCCTATGGATTGTGGCTAGTTTACCAAAAAGCTTATCAGACTTCTGGATGGAAAACTAACCTCAGGTCTCAGAGTCTTGAGTATATACTGTGCCTATTTTTCATTTGGAGCTCCTGTGTGTATGTTTATGTGTACAAAAGAGCATTTGTCACTAATGCCACCCCCCTCCACCATCCAACCTCATTATGAGCAACATGATAACTAACTATTACTAACCAAACACATGCCTTTTCCAAATATTTCCTTTCATTTTAACAGGTATATGACTAACTGTGGTCATGTGGACTGTCTACCTTTACTTAAAGAGATGTCAATTACGTAAAGCCATAAATATTACCATAGTCACCATCTTTCTGCTTCAAAGAAGGGTTTAGATTAGAAACCATTGGATCAACCGCTGTAAGTATGTTTTGGGGAACTAAAAACAAAAAAGAGAAATTTTTGAACTGTCAATTGAAAGTACTTACACCTGAGATTTTCTTTGAATTGCAATGTAGATTGGGAATCATTTTTCAAAACAATATTTGAATCACTGTGTCTACCAGTCACATAAATTTAATGTGTATATGCACACACCTAGGAACTTAACAAATGTTTACTGAATTGAATTGAAATTGACTATTCTGGACAATTGCATTTATAGTTTGATCTTAAAATCCAGAGAGGTAGTCTCAAGATAGTAAATAGCGGGCTAGCCTTGCAGTTACGAAGAACTAGGGTAAAAATCTGACTCTGATACATACTGCCTATGTGATGATGGCTAAGTAACCTTACCTCTCAGTATTTTAAGCAAGTATTTATGACTCTAAGTTACAGAGGAGGTATTAATCTGCATTGGTGGAGACAGTTTCCACACCAAGACTTCCCCATAATGATGAAATTATAGAGACAGATAGAAAGGAAAAGAAAAGGAAAAGGAAAGAAAAATCTAACAGATAGCATCTTAGAACATGGGTTTCCCTAAAGCACAGAGGCCAGTTAATTCACTTCAGGGATATTATTTTTACTAAAATGATCAATAGTCAATGATGGCAAGATTAATTCTTCCCTCTCACACCTGCCCCGATCTAATTTGCTTTTGATTCAGTGCTTTACATAACTCCTCTTTTCAAATAAACATGAAGATTTTCCTGGAAATTCCATGACAGAATTTCTCAGAGTATCACTACCTTCATCTACTGCAGCCAAATCCATGAAAATGATCAAGAGACTCAGGCTGGGTTAAAAGTATACCTGATTTCTAGCTTTCAGGAAGAAAGCGAAAAGGTGATTAAAGAACATGGCTAAGCAAAACTGCCACATAAAAAGTTTTTCACTTCTACTCTTCAGTGAAGACCCACAAAGAGCAGGCAGGCTGAGGTTCATTAGGGCCTCTATGGCCACTGCTGAGTTAATGCACCTGGGAAGTAGCTGTAGCCAAGGGTCCAGAAATCTGCAATGGGGTTCATGGAAACCAGGCATCCAGTGTGAAAGAATATCCTTTGCCTCAAAGTGTTTTGGTTTTTGTTTGTTGAAGACAGATACTTGGTTTCTCTTTTTCTCCTAATGATAGGAAGCAAGGATTTATTAAGAACCTACTGTGCTAAGGACTTTACATGCATTATCTCATTTGGTCCTCACAATAACTCTAGGAGAAGGTGCTGTTATTACTCCCATTTTATAGTTAAGGAAACTGAGGCAAGCAGATTTTTTTTAAAGTGACTTACCCAAGGTGATCACACAGCTAGTAAATATCTGAGGCTGGAGTTGAACTCAGGTCTTCCTGACTTGAGGCCTAGGGCTCCATCCCTTACGTCACTAGCCGCCTGGGGGGGGGAGGGGCAGTGTTGTGGTGGGCGCAATGATGGACTGTAGGAAATGTAAGTGAGGTGGATACTACTCGTGTAAGTCATGGGATCTTTATAGCTTGATGATTCTTTCTTTCTTTCTTTCTTTCTTTCTTTCTTTCTTTCTTTCTTTCTTTCTTTTTAGGCAATTGGAGTTAAGTGA